CCATACACTACCAGATCGCATCCCCTCCACATTCCCTCCATGCACTTTGTGTTGTCTGGCACCAAATTACTGTCCGGAAAAAAAAGTGAGCGGGATCAAATGATATCGATTGTCGTATCGATTCCAGAGAACACTGGAGGGAATTCGATGAGAAGGATCCCGCAAGTAGCGATCGTTACATTTTGTTTTCCGATTCCCTCCAGCGTTCTCTAGAATTGTTACATTGTATCTCTTCTTACTGAGATCTATTTCCTGTGATCTTCAGCTCCATCTAGCTGCCCTCCTGCGGTATTTTCCTGATTCCCTCTGTTCTTTATGAACGATCCGATCTTCACTACTTCCCATAAGATTTGACAAACGTTCGACCAGAACATTCCAAAGCGTTCGATTTTGCCCCGCGATCCCAACAGCCGGTTAGTTTGCGCAGAACGAACGTGCACCCGGCTTTGCTGGACGAATAGCTGTGCGAATGTTTAGATCTTGGTGGATCGGTGCCAGCGGCATCTCCTGATTGGGTGGGGAAAGGCGTGCGTGTTGGGCTTAGTTCACGCGGGCAGTAAAAGCGGGCAGTTGTCACATTTTACCTCCCACCTGTGAAGTGACACGGCGGCCCGCTCAGAGCCGTTCACATTGCCGCGTCCGCCATGCTGCGCTTCGCTCATCATAGCATCTGGCAGCCGCTCATTGAAGGTCAGTAACGTGCCAAACGCATGCCGTGCAGAATTACCGCGCAGAAGCCCCCCTCGGGACGGCATCCAGTAGGTGGCAGTATTGCCTCCCGAGCAACTGCAAACCCCCACTAGCTGCGGTCAATCGCCTTCAAATCGACGGAAATCGCGCCGCCTGCGTGACCGAGAACTCTGTCACATGGCAGCAAGAGTCTTCAACCCGCGGTCCAATCACATTCCCTGATCCCGCCCCATTTCTTGATCCCATCCATTTCCTGATCCCAGCCCCATTCCTTGATCCCGCCCCATTTCTTGATCCCACCCCATTTCTTGATCCCACCCCATTTCTTGATCCCACCCCATTTCTTGATCCCACCCCATTTCTTGATCCCGCCCCATTTCCTTGATCCCACCCCATTTCCTGATTCCCACCCCATTTCCTGATCCCGCCCCATTTCTTGATCCCGCCACATTCCCTGATCTCGCTCCATTTCTTGATCCCGCTCCATTCCCATCCCATCATATTCATTGATCCTTTCTCTGATCCCGCCACATTCCCTCATCTGCTCCATTCCCTGATCCCACCACTTTCCCTGATTTCCCCATCCCATCATGATCCCGCCCCATTATCTGATCCCGCCACATTCTCTCATCCTGCTCCATTCCCTGATCCCACCACTTTCCCTGATCCCGCCCCATTATCCCTGATCCCGCCCCCATTATCTGATCCCGCCACATTCTCTCATCCTGCTCCATTCCCTGATCCCACCACTTTCCCTGATCCCACCACTTTCCCTGATCCCGCCCCATTATCTGATCCCGCCACATTCTCTCATCCTGCTCCATTCCCTGATCCCACCACTTTCCCTGATCCCGCCCCATTATCTGATCCCGCCACATTCTCTCATCCTGCTCCATTCCCTGATCCCGCTCCATTTCTTGATCCCATTGCATTTCTCATCCCATCATACTCTGATATTGTTCCATGATCCCGCTCCATCTCTCACCCCATCCCATTCCCTGATCCCTCCGCATTCTCTGATCCCGCTCCGTTCTCTTGTTCCGCTCCATTTCCCATCCCATCATATTCACCGATCCTGTTCCGTGATCCCGCCCCATTCTCTGATCCCGCCCCATTCTCTGATCCCGCCCCATCCCCTGTAATAGTTACATTGTAATCTTTTCTTCCTGTGTTACAATCCAGGTTTTGTATTTTATATTCTCTGTATAATGAATCTTTGTACCTGTTGACAGTTTTACATATTAATATCTGGAGAGGAGAGCGCTGAGATGTTTGTATTCGGAATCTCCTCTCCGCCCGGTGCCATGGTTTTCTACGGATCGGCTCCTTTATAGTAAATATGTTCAGATGTTCACTTTGTTTGATGTCCTCGTTCGGAATGTTCGGTGTTTATAATCGGGATGACTGCAAAACCCTGAGAAACGAAACTTCAGCTCACCACAGACATCGCAATCGGATTGTACAATCTCCTTTAGATCTGCCAACTATGCAATGCAAGGGCTTGATTGGATACAGACTGGATGCAGACTGATTGATTGGATACAGACTGATTGATTGGATACAGACTGATTGATTGGATGCAACTGATTGATTGGATACAGACTGATTGATTGGATACAGACTGATTGATTGGATACAAATTGATTGATTGGATACTGACTGATTGGATACAGATTGATTGATTGGATACAGACTGATTGATTGGATACAGACTGATTGGATACTGAAATACTGATTGGATACAAATTGACTGATTGGATACAGACTGATTGATTGGATACAGACTGATTGGATGCACATTGATTGGATAGAGACTGATTGGATGCACATTGATTGATTGGATACAGACTAATTGTATCCAATCAGTCAGTATCCAATCAATGTGCATCCAATCAGTCTGTATCCAATCAATCAATTTGTATCCAATCAGTCAGTATCCAATCAATTTGAATCCAAATTGATTGGAGACAGACTGATTGGATACAAATTGATTGGAGACAGACTGATTGGATACAAATTGATTGGAGACACACTGATTGGATACAAATTGATTGGAGACGGACTGATTGGATACAAATTAAATGATTGGATACAAATTAATTGATTGGATAAAATTGATTGGAGACACACTGATTGGATACAAATTGATTGGAGACAGACTGATTGGATACAAATTGATTGGAGACAGACTGATTGGATACAAATTGATTGGAGACAGACTGAATACAGATTAATTGATTGGATACAAATTGATTGGATAGAATAGGGAGGTCCTCCTATCATACAGTTTTGGTAGATCTGAAATTGATTGTACAGAGATTGTGATGTGTATGGTGACCCTTACAAAAAAGATCATGTGACCTGGGTGGGCGGGTTCACAGTTCTATTTTTAGGTCATTGATCTCCACATGAGTATCACCAGCAGAACGAGACGCAGATCTCCTCTTTCTACATCGATGTGTGTGGCCGTCACTGATCCTTACAGCAGAACGCGACCCGTAAACCCCGCAGGATGACGTTCGCTTCGCATTAGAAAAAAGTAACAAAAAAAAAAAAGAGTCCCTTTTAAAGAGACGGAACATGAGATGACATGAGGATGTATTTGTATTTTTCCTAACATGTTGCTGTGTAACAAAAGCAAAAAAAAGAATGTATTATAAAGTTGCTACATTGTGTACACGGGGGATGGATACAAAGATCCAGAAGTAGCGGCAGCGTCACACGCAGGGGCGGACTGACCATTTGAGCACATGGGCACTGCCCGAGGGCCCGGTGTATATATATAGTATATTTGTTGTGTGTGTATATATATATATGTGTATTGTGTGTGTGTATATATTTATTTTGTGTGTGTGTGTGTATATAATATATAAATTATATATATGTGTGTGTGTGTGTAATATATATATATATATATATTTTGTGTGTGTGTGTTATATAGAGATATATGTGTGTGTGTGTATATATATAATATATATGTGTTGTTGTTTGTTGTGTTGTATATATTGTTGTGTGTGTGTGTATATTTATTTTGTGTGTGTGTGTTTTGTATTTTTTTTATATTGTGTGTGTGTGTATTTTATTTGATATATGTGTTTTTTTTTTGTGTGTGAGTGTATTATATATTTGTGTGTTATTTTATGTGTATATTATATTTTTATGTTTTTTGTGTGTGTTTATATTTTTATGTTTTGTGTGTGTTTTTTTGTTATATATTATTTTGTTTTGTTTTTGTTGTAAATTATATTTTTTGTTATTGTGTGATGTATATATATTATTTGTTGTGTGTGTATATATATATATATTTGTGTTTTGTTAATAGTATAATATATATTGTGTTGGATATATATGTATGTGTTTGGGTGTGTGTGTAAAATATATATGTGTAATGTGTGTGTTGTTTATATTGTTATGGTGTTTTTATTTTTTGTTTGTTGTGTGTATTATATATGTGTTTAGTATTTGTGAATATATTTATATATATATTGTGTGTGTAATATGTATTTTGTGTGTTAAATATATATGTGTTTGTGTGTGTGTGTTGTATATTTATATATGTGTGTGTGTGTGTGTATATATATTATGTGTTGTGTGTTATATATGTGTGTGTGTGTAAATATATATGTTGTTGTGTGTGTGTGTATATTTTGTGTGTGTGGGTGTATATATATTATATTGTGTGTGTTTATATATAGATATATTTGTTGTGTTATATTTTATTGTGTGTATATATATTATGTGTGTGTGTGTATATATAATATATGTGTGTGTGTTTTGTGTATATATATATGTGTTGTGTGGGTGTCCTGCGCTCAGCAGGCGATGTCGCGGTTTTTTGTGTCGCTGTGGTGGGGTTGCGGTTATATGGCTTCCGATCTGCAGAATGAAAGAGCGATGATTGTTTATACTGCAAATAAACATATTTTTTCTGTATTAAAAGCTGGCGTGGAGGATTTATTCCGGAAAATATAACATTGTCATGTAAAATATATATGTGTACAAAAAAAATTATAATTTTTCAAAATTTTTTATATATATATATATATATATTTATTTTTTATATATTTTTTTTTTTTTTTACATACTTTCACCCTAGCAGTACAAGTCACCATGGTGACACTGTACTACTTGTGGGGGGTGATGAAGATTTTTTTTTTTTTTACAGTGATTGCTTTTACACCCATAAAGGCTGGAAGAGGAATAATTTCTCCTTCTCTCTGGCTGCATTCCTGCAGCCATTGAGAAATACTGTGAGAGCTGTGATAGGTCACAGCTTGTCACATGGTACAAGGCTGCTGTGAATGGACCTGTACCATGTGATCTCTGTGATCATTCACAGATTTCACAAGTAGAAAGCGATGCTGTCAGAAGTGACAACTTGCTTACTACTTTTCATGTGATCACTGATTGGCCAATCACATGAATCGGGACCTCGCACAATCCCCTCCCAATCATGTGATTCAGGTGTTCCAATCCCCTCATCCCAATCGCAATCATGTGATTCAGGTGTTCCAATCCCCTCCCAATCATGTGATTCAGGTGTTCCAATCCCCTCCATATCATGTGATTCAGGTGTTCCAATCCCCTCCCAATCATGTGATTCAGGTGCTCCAATCCCCTCCATATCATGTGATTCAGGTGTTCCCAATCCCCTCCCAATCATGTGATTCAGGTGCTCCAATCCCCTCCATATCATGTGATTCAGGTGTCCAATCCCCCCCATATCATGTGATTCAGGTGCTCCAATCCCCTCCATGGACACAGGTGTATACAATCAAGCCCCTAGGCATGCAGACGGCTTCTACAAACATTGGTGAAAGAATGGGTCGCTCTCTCAGGAGCTCAGTGACTCCAAGCGTGGTCCCCGTGATAGGTGGCCACCTGGGCAATAAGTCCATCCGTGACATTTCCTGGCTACTAAATATTCCACGCTCAACTGTTAGTGGGATTATAACAAAGTGGAAGCAACTGGGAACAACAGCCACTCAGCCACCAAGTGGTAGGCCACGTCACAATGACAGGGCGGGTCAGCGCATGCTGAAGCGCACAGTGTGCAGAAGTCGCCAACTGTCTGCAGAGTCAATAGCTAAAGACCTCCAAACTTGGTGTGGCCTTCAGATGAGCCCAACAACAGTGCGTAGAGAACTTCATGGAATGGGTTTCCATGGCCGAGCAGCTGCATCCAAGCCTTCCATCACCAAGTGCAATGCAAAGCGTCGGATGCCGTGGTGTAAAGCACCGCCGCCACTGAACTCTAGAGCAGGGGAGACGTGTTCTCTGGAGGGACCAATCACGCTTCTCTGTCTGGCAATCTGATGGACCGTGTCCACCAGTGCACAAAGCAAGGTCCATAAAGACATGGAGGAGCCAGTTTGGGGTGGAGGAACTTGACTGTCCTGCACAGAGTCCTGACCTCAACCCCATAGAACACCTTTGGGATGAATTAGAGCGCAGACTGCAAGCCAGGCCTCCTCCCCCGACATCAGTGCCTGACCTGACAAATGTGCTTCTGGAAGAATGGTCCAACCTTCCCATAGACACCCTCCTAAACCTTGTGGACGGCCTTTCCCAGAAGAGTTGAAGCTGTTATAGCTGCAAAGGGCGGGGCCAACTCAATATTGAACCCTACGGACTAAGGCTGGGAGGGGCCATTAAAGGTCATGTGTGTGGGAAGGGCGGGGCCAACTCAATATTTAACCCTACGGACTGAGACTGGAGGCCATTAAAGGTCATGTGTGTGTGGAAAGGGTGGGGCCAACTCAATACTGAACCCTATGGACTAAGATTGGGGGGCCATTAAAGGTCATGTGTGTAGAAAGGGTGGGGCCAACTCAATACTGAACCCTATGGACTAAGATTGGGGGGCCATTAAAGGTCATGTGTGTGGAAAGGGCGGGGCCAACTCAATATTGAACCCTACGGACTAAGTCTGGGGGGGGCCATTAAAGGTCATGTGTGTGGAAAGGGTGGGGCCAACTCAATATTGAACCCCACGGGCTAAGATTGGGAGGACCATTAAAGGCTGGCTGCCCGATAATTGGGGCCAGTGGTCTCTAAACTATGGCCCTCCAGGTGTTGAGGAACTGCAGGTTCCCATGAGGCCTTGCAAGACTCTGATAGCCACAGGCAAGACACCCAGAGGCAGAGGCATGATGGGACTTGTAGTACTTCAACAGCTGGAGGGCCATAGTTTGGAGACCTCTGTATTGGGCAGTGTAGTGTATGAACCCTTGCTGGAGGACATTTGATTTGCTGTACAATATCTATGGTCATTGCTTTCACCTTTTTTCTCCCTGGGTTGTATCTCAGGGCTTCCGATCTCCTGCAGCCACTTCCTGTCTACATTGCCCTCCGGTGATGGCTCCATAACAGTTTTCAGGGTGGTTTCCTGATGGTGACAACAGTAGCCCGTGTCTGTGTAATACGTGCTGAAACAGCCTCTTGTAGTCTCCATTGGAAGCTCATGTGACAGGGTGACAACACAGGAACACAGTTTGGGACAGAGCGTTGTCACCCTATAACAGGAAGTGACTCAGCAAGGACCTTCATGGCGGGATCACCAGGGAATATTCTAATGAAAGATGCAGATTAGGAAATATTGAAAACGGCTTTTATAATGACATTCACCTGTTACACTTTATATACAGCGCCTGGAAGAAGTCCCCCCCCCCCGAAATGTCCCCCAACATTTCGGGGAGGGGAATACATTGTAACATGACAACATGGGGGACATTTCGGGGGGGGGGGTACATTGTAACATGACAACATGGGGGACATTGTAACATCGGGGGGGGGGAGGGGGAATACATTGTAACATGACAACATGGGGGACATTTCGGGGGGGGGGGGATACATTGTAACATGACAACATGGGGACATTTCGGGGGGGGGGGGAATACATTGTAACATGACAACATGGGGGACATTTCGGGGGGGAATACATTGTAACATGACAACATGGGGGACATTTCGGGGGGGAATACATTGTAACATGACAACATGGGGGACATTTCGGGGGGGGGGAATACATTGTAACATGACAACATGGGGGACATTTCGGGGGGGGGGAAGGGGGAATACATTGTAACATGACAACATGGGGGACATTTCGGGGGGGGGGGGGGTACATTGTAACATGACAACATGGGGGGACATTTCGGGGGGGGGGGGGGATACATTGTAACATGACAACATGGGGGGACATTTCGGGGGGGGGGGGAATACATTGTAACATGACAACATGGGGGACATTTCGGGGGGGGGGGTACATTGTAAACATGACAACATGGGGGACATTTCGGGGGGAAATACATTGTAACATGACAACATGGGGGACATTTCGGGGGGGGGGAATACATTGTAACATGACAACATGGGGGACATTTCGGGGGGGGGGGAATACATTGTAACAAATGACAACATGGGGGACATTTCAGGGGGGGGGGGAATACATTGTAAACATGACAACATGGGGGACATTTCGGGGGGGGGGCAAGGGGAATACATTGTAACATGACAACATGGGGGACATTTCGGGGGGGGAGGGGAATACATTGTAACATGACAACAATGGGGGTACATTTCGGGGGGGGGGAGGGGAATACATTGTAACATGACAACATGGGGGACATTTCGCGGGGGAGGG